ATTCTTGAAATCATACTCAAGTCTGCTCAAGTCCTGGCTTGAGCATTGAGTACAGTTCTGGAATACGACCCTCAGTTTCATTGTGCTGTGTGGGTTTCTTCACTACATTGGCAAGGTAAAGCCTCTTTCTTACGATTTAGAATATATTTTTTGAACCTTCTTGGTCTTTTGGTTTCGACTACACCTCAAACTTTTGAAACAATTATTGTAATAAATCCAAAAATATTCATATAGTTATCAAGTTTCCATGAAATTTGTAACGAGTCTGAATCAATGATACGTTGTGAATTTTTTTTAAACATCGATTTTTTTAATCTGTCAAAATTTTGTCAGGTGTTAGATTTGCATCCTTCAGGGGTTTTAGAGCCTACACACACGGTATAAGTATTTTATATGCGCTAGTGCCGCGCCCCGTAGAGGTCAAAAAGCAGATTGTTGCGTTTGGATCGATTCAAAGGCGCGTAAAACGTGACACAAACGCGCGCAAGAAGCGCGTCTTCTTTTTATTTTTTTATAATTTCAACTGACGGGACGAACAAGTCGTGCGCCTGATGGTAAACTACACGCCTGTCCATAACAGTTGCAGTGACATTCAGAGCTTAAAATCGCAAACATCTGAGAGGCACTAAGATGGACATAAGTTTACCCTTACTCTTCAAAACCGGAACAGAGTAATGCTGACTTTACTGCTTGGCGGCAGAAATAGGTAAGGTGGCAGTACTTCCCTGGGCGAACCTTTTCACAAGGAGCTCTGCTGCTACTAAAAGGCGGCGCGTGCACGCGAAGGTGTCGCGCGTTTACGTCGCCAATGAATTTGTGAACGTGTACAAAGGTTCATCGCTGCCACTGCATCGCGTTCGAATCGCTTTTACGCGCGTCATCTGCGCGTCGTCGGCGCGTATAAAATACGCCAGAAGTACCAGGTTCGATGCCCGGGCCGGCCTAAATTTAAAATTATTTCTCTCGTGAGTTTGAGTGTAACTTGTGGTTGCCTATGTGTGTGTCCATGGCACCCGCGACACTGAGTTTCCCTAGTGCGGGGCTATGTTGAGTGTCTGCGTTATTATTATTATTATTTTTGTTCTTTATTAGTGTTTTAATGTCTATAAAACACTATAATTGTCGTATTCAACATGCTTTTCACCGGTTTTATTCAATATAATGTTTACTTCTTCGTCCGCTGAAATTATAAATTCTGTTGCTATCTTGACGAACCACGTTCTACAGAGCCTTGATTTATAAGTCATGACTAAGCAGCGTTGTAAGTGTATGAATTCGGTAAACAATAGCATTCAGTTAAAGACGTGACGCGTCATCCACGTGTTTCAAAGTTAAAGTGCCACTTAAAGAATTTCTGCACTTACATGCGAAATTTAATTAGAAGTACTTAACACTTTCAAATGCCTATTCAATCAAATACAAAAAGCTGAGTATTTGTCAATTGAAGTTCAATTTACGTAAAGTGTTGTGAATATTTATGAAATCTTGAAAAGCAGTATTAAAAATGCTAAAATAGTTTCTGAAATTTTGCCAAAGTGCTAAGAATCTTACAGAGGTATTGGCCCAAATTGTGGGCGTGTTTTTTAAATAAATAGAACTGAAAAGTCCGTATTTACTAAATATGTATTCATCTATATTACTACTACTACTGTAGCTAGCAGTATCAAGTCGCGCTGGCTTGTACCATATTTGCATTATTTAAACCAAATTATAATTATGAACATTAAAACAACATAATCAAGAAATCATATTTATATGGCATTTCCTTGTCAAGTTGCTAAATTGAAAAATTCATCTTTTATAAAAGTTTTAGTCTCAGTTCTACTTTTTCCCGCCTAGGGTTGAAAAATAAAATGAGCACTTTTGTCCTGATAGCCTCAAATATAAAGTCATTGTTAAATATGTTTATTTTTTTTTCGTAATAAATAAATTAGCAATACAAGTTTATAATTATGTTTAAATTATTTACCACCTATTTATGACTCTAGGTAAATAGTAAGAATTTTTTTTTATTTCATTTTGTACTGTTTCATAACTGTACTTTTGTTTGCCTAATTTGGGTGCATGTCTTTCATATCTACTTATATGTTATACTTATTGGTAGATAATAAACGATCTTGTTGTGTACGTATATAGATAGATAATATAGTAGGTACTCGTGTTAAACCTTACAAGATTCTCTTTAAATATGTATCTTCGTGACTTTATTTAATGCTTTGGTAAATGTATTACTAACAGATAATTATAGCACAATTTAGTTCTTTGACGTCATAATACGCGGAGGATCACACCTCCTCCATATTATGGAGGCGTGTTCCGTCGTAAAGTTTGGTACAATGTCGATAGTATTATACAAATATCTCATACCTCGTTTACGAAAAAGTACGTTAATCTAGTTCGATGTTTGTATTGAAGTTTATTTATAGCCGAAGAATGTATTTAAAATAACCTTTACAGTATCTACGAACAAAACCCAATAATATGTGAAAGTCGTATCAAAATATTTATTTTATTTATTTATTTATTTATTTATTTTAAACGCTAAGAATATTACAAAAATATATATACATCACACCCTTAAACCTACATTGGTTTGTCCGGGTGCTGCACGTAATATAATATAGATTGTTGGCTCTTAGAGTCGTGGAGCTACACTAGTTCCTTGTTCAATTATTTTGTTGCCCTTGAAATTGATTTAGACATAGTTCCATATCTGCGCAGAAGCTGTCAATATTATTACATTTGTCGTCACAGATCACAAGTAGGTACACACACGTATTACCTATTAGAGACTCGTGATGAACCACATAATGCAGTGGCGATGGTTTGTTCGCATACAATAAATTGTCGTGCCTTTGATTATTGACATTGGTACGTTTGTAACAAATATTTACATGGTCACGCGTCCACTGACGACGATGCAACGACAAATTTCTAATTTATTATTATTGCTTATTGGATTATTGGTTTACATAAACGGATAGGATTTAGGCAATGGTTCACTAGTACCTATTTTAAACATAGTAGCTAAACCAATTTCTTTACCATTTGCCACCAATGTTACTTATGAAGTAACAACTCAATTGTACACAAAACTCTTTATACTACTTTAATTTGCTTGAGGTTAAATGTAAAATGTATTTAAAATCTAATTAGTTATAGTGATGATATGATTCCATCTAAATATGCCAATAGAGCAGTGTATCTGGCCTTGTCCTCCGCATCATTCTCCCTCTGTATTTATACATAGATAGAGGTGAATGAACATATTCACGTTATTTAATAAATATTAGATTGAATTTTGGTTATACTTGTAGGCATTTCTTTATAAATTGGCCGTGACACACTGGCATGAATGAAGTATATGTATAGCTGTGATTCAGCATCCTCATTTTTGAGACTACTTTTCATAAAACATGGGAGTCAGCGACTGGTTCTGTCAGAATTTATTGTCGAAAACCACTTTAAAACGGCTGTAAAGACAAACAGCCATGCTTTGTACAATAAGGCACGGCAGACGACACGACGCGACACATCTGTCGTCGCAAGACGCGTATTTCTGTATAAAATCGGCCCCTCTGTGAATATGAAGTTTATGATTTTTGTGGTTGTGGCCCGAAACCCATTGCAGGCTACAGATAAATACATATTAATGTTACGGTCTTATACACGAGACGTTTCATACGAACTTATAATTTCATACAAATGAAGTTACACGATTGTACATAGTTCCTACGTACATAAGCCATGTATTACAATCTTTTTCACTTGTGAATTGGTTGGAAATCAGCGCTGACCAATTTAGGCCCCTTAATGCACATACCTACATCCGCAAAGGCGATTGCTGCGGGATTTGCGGGCCGTCTCACTGTTACACGGGAAATGCCGCCGTTGCTATTTTTAACCTCTCGAAATAGCAGGCGTCATTACGTGCGCAAACACGGTTATGCATAGCTTCTGTTCACAACCACATTAAGACGTAATAAATGACGATACCTTTGTCAAATCTGCCAATAATTACCATAAATACATTTTACAAAATATTCTTTATTTATTTACTTACTACTCGTTTTATCTTTTTTTTAGCATCAGAAGCGTTTCTTATTAGTTGCAATTAAAGATGTGTTCTTTAACATTTAAATCTTTAAATTCTTCTTCTTGGGGTTTCTCTCCGATTGGCGGCTCGTCAACATGATGGCAATTCTAGCTTGGGTGGTACTGCAGCCGAAACATTCCTTTAAATGCTTAACCCGTTCATGTACGGTACAAAATACCGCATACAAAAATGTCACTACTTTATATTGATTCAATATTATAATTACGCTTTATCACTGACGTCCATTCGTCCATCTGACTTCTGATCCCGTTAGTATTCTTGTGTAAAAGAAAGTGTGTGAAAAGTCATATTGAACGAATACTGAAAACGTTGGCGTTTTAGAAAAAAAAATTGGTTAAAACTTACTTTTGCTGTTCAATGGTACTGACATGTACTTACCTACTTGTATCACCTCATACAAACACATTGGTCTCCACCATACTGCCTTAATGTAACGTCCACAAATGCGTGCATGTGAATAATTGAATTTTGTCATTACGTCCCGTTGTTGATGCTTTTCTATGGAGAAGCAGTAGGCGGCAACTACACAGAAAACACTTAGAAATCATACTGCAAAGCCCGTAGTAGGTTTCTTGAGATCCATATAGCGAAACGGGGTACCCCGCACTATCATATTTACTTTTGCGGTAATCGCCGTCACTGCCCATGAACGGGTTAAGCAGTAGTACCGGCTTTTGCCGCCACTTCGCTGTAGTAAATTGTACTTGTCTTTCCTCATTACTTGTCGTTCAACATCTTATATAGGATATTTGAATTAGATTGCAATAATATAGGTACATATATGCTGCAGCAATTTAAGACATCACAGCGTTTTCGCTGTCTCTTGTATTGCATCTTTGCATTGAAGAAAAAATCATGTTTAAAATGTGCTTTTATGTTTCAGAAACCGCAACTTCGGCCTATGATAGCCGAATATGATCCCAAGAGTAAAGATGTTAGACATGATTTAATCATGGTCAAGTAAGTTGCTTTTGTTCCTTTTGTTTAATACCAACATTGCTCAATAAAGAGAAGATTATTTTTGTCTTCGCTTTAACTTGCCTGTGTTGTGAATAATACAATTTCATATTTGTGCAACATTCAATCAGTTTAATTTACTGCTTGGTAATCTTTTCAAATTCGAACTAAGTATATAAGCATGCTTCACTGCTTATTATCATTTTCGTTTAAAGTGATTGTCCAATGACAAACTAATTTTATTGAATTTTTGTTCAACAGGAAAAGAGCGTTTTTAGTCAATTTCGTATTCATTCTAGATCTGTAAAATCTAGCAAAAATAATATTCTGCGCTATCTAGAGCGCTATGTGTTTACACATATCCTAACTTAGATGTTATTCTCGCATCTTATTGACATGTTTTGTCGTTATGATGGTATTTTATATGTATGTTGACTGTTAAGTACTTGCTCCTTATATCGAGCTCTAAAATTGCTCGCCGCCGAACGGAGACGATCCGGGAAGACGTGTGCAGCTTCCACAAGATTAAAGTCGTTCGTCGACCTTGATCATCTCGCAATGGACTCATACACCGGTACATCATTCCATTTTATGGTTTCAGTTTTATTTGAGTTTTTGTATTGTTCTGGTAAAATATTAAATTTCTCAATTGCATTTGAGTGCGTGCCCCTCTCTGGAGCAGTGTAGGTGCGTCTGTGCGCCCACTGCGTGCCAGTGAGTCCGAAGGCTCTCCGTGCCATCTCTATTCAGGTTCGGGATTGGCCCTCACACTGAACGTCTGTCAAATTCGATTTAGCTTTATGTCTTACTCTATATTAAAGGCAATTAATAATATATATCTAATCCTATCTCTGGATATCATTGTTGATAATTAGTATTACATATTATATAGTGTTGATTTAGTTCCTAAAGCTGTATTGAATTTTACGGTTGGGCCAAAATATGTAAATTCCGAATCTTAACAGAGTGAAGCACGTTTCAAACTTACTGTTCTTTTGGAGACCATAATGAATGTATCACACTTCACACATCAACACTTACTACACAATTATACCGCGGCTCTTATACACACTGTCAATATTCCGCGCGTTGTTAACAATTGCAACATGATAATAATTATGACGTCGCGCGTTGCTAGTTTTTCTATAAATGCCATTATCGATTCCATGTTCACACCGTGATATACACCTTGATCATCTCACAATTTACCTAAGCTTCATACGTGGCGCTTTCTGTTTTACCGATATCGCTATTTTGATCGTAACGCTTTAGATTCCGATATTTTTGTTCTTAAAATCTACACTCTGATACCCTTACTCACTACTAACAAATACTCGAACCAAATTTTTATTAGTTTATTATGCTTTGACTGTGGCAAGAACTATAACAACGTATTCATACTATGACAGGTACAAAGTTGATCCAAGCGAAATCCCCGTGGAGCAGCAAGCGGGCTCTACTCTGCCCCTTATGGACATACCGGGGCGTGATATAGAAGCCGATGATGATTACAACCCATTTGAAAACAGAAAATTAGCTCATCCTACATCGTAAGTATATACAGTATATATTGTAGGTTTAGATACTTATGACAATTTCATTATATCGTACTTAAATGTATGTACAGTTTTGTTGGTAACGCATTCTTTCAATTTCCAGGGATTTGGACACTCTTATTCATTTGCTGAAGGGTTCACTTGGAAGCGGCATTCTTGCCATGCCGATGGCATTCCGTAACGCTGGTCTCTACGTTGGATTGCTGGCCACCTTCGCCATCGGCGGTATTTGCACCTACTGCGTGCATATCTTGGTGAAGACCGCTCATGAGCTGTGCAGGAGAATGCAGAAACCTTCCCTTGGATTTGCAGAAACTGCTGAAGCCGCGTTTTTATCAGGACCCCCGGCTGCTCACAAATTTTCAAGGCTTGCCAAGTTAGTAACCATTTCATAAACGAAGTTTCACATTCCCAACAGCTTGCATTGGAGGTACCGGTTTCGATTCTAAATTGGTTCTGATCTAAGTGAGTACCGGAGAGTGCATGGAATTTCGTAGGTCGATGTAGCGTAATTGGTATGGTTGTCTACGTCTTTCTAATTAATGGGTACAATTCATTTTCAATTCTCTATTTTTTTTCAGGGCTATGGTCAACTGGTTCCTCGTGATCGATCTACTGGGTTGTTGCTGCGTTTATATCGTGTTTATTGCTGAAAATGTGAAACAAGTTGTAGATAACTACGCGAAGGAAATTGACTGGTTGCCTTATAACATGAATATCCGATACTACATGCTCATGCTTCTGCCACTGCTTATTTTGATGAATCTGATCAAGAATCTTAAGTATTTAGCACCCTTTTCAATGCTCGCAAACCTTTTAGTTGGTAGCGGTATGGGCATTACTTTTTACTATCTTTTCCAAGATATGCCAAAATTGGAGGAACGTAAAGCCTTCGCTGAGATAAGTACAATGCCAATATTCTTCGGAACCGCTATCTTTGCATTGGAAGGCATTGGTGTAGTAATGCCTCTTGAGAACAATATGAAAACTCCAACCCACTTCATAGGATGTCCAGGAGTACTAAACACAGGCATGTTTTTCGTAGTATCCTTATATGCGTTTACGGGATTTTTCGGGTACCTTAAATACGGAGAAGACACGAACAGCAGCATAACTCTGAATTTACCACAAGATGAAATGTGAGTTTACTTTGATACGTAATATAGATACTTACAACGATGGACAAAGTATAAAACATCTTTGCATTGGGTTTTAAAGCCACGTTGAGACAACAGACACTGCTTCGAATTCAGTAGGATCAAAAGAATTTTTCTTTGTGTTTATTTTATCAATAATAATAATAATAATGAGTGTCAAATAGATATCCAAAATAATAATAAGAATAAAACTAGAGGAGTATTATCATAAAAAATGTATATGAATAATATTAAACAGTTTATATTACGAACAAAATCGTGATGCAATAGCAAGGGTGTTTTTCATTGCACTGACAGGGTACATTTTTCTGTTAAAGTTGATTAAAATGCGTCAATATTAATTCCAGCTTGGGGCAGAGCGTGAAACTAATGATTGCCATCGCCATGTTCTTCACGTACAGTCTACAGTTCTACGTGCCTATGGAAATCATCTGGAAGAACGTCCGTCACTTGTTTGGCGCTCGGAAGAATCTCGCTGAGTACAGTATTAGAATTGCAATCATCATAATAACACTTTGCATAGCAATTGCAATTCCTAATTTAGGGCCATTCATCTCCCTAGTCGGCGCCGTATGCCTCTCTTTCCTCGGTCTGATCTTCCCTGCTGCTATAGAGACTGTAACCTTTTGGGACAGACCTAACGGCCTCGGAAGATTTAACTGGGTTCTGTGGAAAAATATTTTCTTAGTATTCTTCGGTATAATTGGTTTCTTAACCGGTTCCTATGTCAGTATTTGTGAAATTTTAGAGGGTAAAAATTAATTTGCTAAGGCTCAAAATCGATTATATATTTGCTTAACTTAAGTGTAATTCATCATTCACTTGTTCTATATTTCTTTATTAGCTTTTGATACTTTATATGCATCGAGCTATAGGTACATGTAGTAGCGATTTATAATTCGTTTATGTAAGCTTGCGTTTTTTGGCAGGGGTTTAATTTTCAACATGACTTAACTTACAAGCGAATACTCTCAGCGAATACTTTGACGTGTCATAACGTCTACGTCTTTAGCATGCTCTGTTATGTTAGGAAGATGTAAAACTTGCAGCATGCACAATCAAAACTGTGACTGATATCGATAAACCAGCTTTAAAGCCTTGCGACGTATCACAGTATAACAACAAAAAAGGTCCAAAGAAATTTGTCCTTTGATTGTGAAGAGTCAACACCAATTTGGCTCAAATAAGACAAAGTCAATGAAACAATCCAAGTCATCATAAATTATTTATTATCTGTCATAAATCACAATGGACACATTAAAAAAAAGAAACGCGTTTAAATTACCGAGTGCGCATTAACAACCTTAACTCGACTCTATCTCACGACGTAGTTGTCGTCATCAGTTATTTGTATTTATTTTCCTTGTAACACTTTTTGAGTTTCTATTACGGCTGAAGTATGCTTTTGTACTTTCGATTTTTTTTAATTTTTGCACTTTTTGTCAAAATTTCTTGATTTTTTTTAATGGGCACATCTCATTGCTGGACTCCAACTTTTATGTATTTCGAGATTTTTTGTTAGCCAATAACATTTTGTTCCTTTATTGTTTTCCTTTCTTTAAGCATTTTGTACAGCTTTGAAGTTTAGATTTTTTTTATTTGATATAATTTTTTTACGTGGTTTAAATATAAATTTATATAAAATTTTAAAATCGCAAAAGATCGTCTCCTCGAATTATTTTATAACTAAACAATAGTAATAACGATTACGCTGTAGTAATCAGTGGAAATTCAGTACAACACTAACCATTTGACATCAGTCAAAAAGCGTAAGCTATGTTATACTGTAAGTACTTTAGACTCGAATATATTATTATTCATGTTTCTGCAGGCTAATATTATCATCGATTTGACATTTACTTTCCGCTTACTTTGAGGCAACTTTAAAATTATGCTGTGTTTGTGGGTTGTTTTTTTTCACAAAGAGCGATTTTTCACAGATGAAAAATGATATCATTTCATATGATAATAAAAAAATATATATTTTTCTAAATATAGTACAACAATGCATTAATTTAATCTTATTGTGTTAATTATTCTTGTTGAAACTTATTTACTATTTACTTTTGAGGTTAATGATCATCTGTGAGGATCGCTGGAGTTTGATGATGATAGCGCCGAATCTCTGTAGCCATTTAGATTCTAAGCAAAACGTAGACATTACTTATATTTAATAAAATTTATGAATGTGAGAATGACTAGTGCATTATTGAAATGTGATACTTTTTAGGTTAAAATGTTGAAAGATATATACAGAAAAACATCCGTTACCTTCAAAAAAACTTATTTGAAGTTACTTTCAGTAATTTATGTATGAAGCATATTAAGATGCTGTACTAAGCTGATAGGGTGTTTGATGTAATTTCTTACGTTAAACAAATCACAAAATCGAAATCGATACAGAAATGAAACTTAGATACATATATTTTCCGTCTTTTCGTGATAATGACTAAATACATCAGTTAGGCGAAAATCTTGACTTACTGTGTTCTTGATCTTTCGGCTTAGTTCTGCAACTTAATAAATTTAATTTTAAAATTAAACTTTTTCATAACGTACTTTACAAACTGGGACCGGATTATCGACACCATTTCCGTTGCCTATAAGGAAAACAGCATATTATAGTATAATACATATTTGCTAAGTAATGTAGATTTATCATATCGAGCTTTTGACAGAGCATTTAATTAAGTACCTAAAGGTACAAATTAGGTTTATTCGAATAAACGTATTCCGAATATATTTTTTACGAATAGTTCTTTGAATGAAGTGTATCATTAAGACATATTTAAAATTTCGTATGGCCCCACAATTAGTCAATGAAATTCATTTTGTTGTTGAAACTCGTGCTCTACTTTTGTTTTTCTGATTTTATGTGTAGACTCCAAATGGTGTCAAAAGAGTTTGGTATAGGTAATGCTCGGTCGTCATTTATAATCAAAAGTATGTCTCCGGGCCAATTTTTTTTAAATTTGTTTAATACCTCTCAGTGTCCAATGTCTTCTTATACCGAGGTAATCGCATTTCGTAAAAGTAATTTATATAATTACATTAATTGTAGATGTTCCTAGAAATGAACTGAATTTGTAGGCGGTGTAATATTTATTGTTTTTGATCAAAATGTTCCTTTTAAATTAAGTACCTGAACGGTACACGTCTATTTATTGTATGACACAATGGTATACCACATGTTTAATCAAAAAGAATTGATTGTAACGTAATCTATTATGTGTACAACACTATTAGTAACGTCTTTAAATGACAATGATGATAGTCAATTTGAGATTTCCTTTCTGTATATTATGTAAGTTGCAATAATTCTGTAATAACGTTATAAATACATTTCATGTACCGATCATCATCAATCATATTAGAAAGAACTGTGATGGTTAAGCAATTCACCCCGTATGTTTCCAGGTGTTATCTATAGTACACTCTACTCTTGCCATTTGGTTCTATTTCTGACTGTTGTGCTAAAACTGTGTTCTTAACCGTATAAGTGTAAAGTCAACTGAGTGGAAAGAGTAAGTTAATGCCTAAATCTAGGTTGTTAAATAAATAATATTTCAATGATATCATAAAGATATTATTCAACATTGCTCTATTGCTTCTTTAGGTATCTATTAGAAAAAGAATCAATGACTTTTTAACATTACGAGGTGAAAAGCAAACTCTTTTCTTAGTATCATTATTAGAAATACCCAAAAAAAGTTTAATTCTCCAACGAATTTTGTCTACGCAAAATGGAAATGATTAAAATATAACGTAACACATTACAATACAACAATACATTATTGTCAATATTATAACGTAAATTTGTGTTCACGCCAGTTCATGACATTTCTGTGACTTAGAACTAAAATTACTAGCAAATTACATTAGTAAGAAATACTAATATTAGTAATGGTAAGATATGATTACTAGTTTTCACTACATTATAAAATGCATTCTTGAGTTTGTAGGCTTTCATGATCATGAACAGGCGTGCCTTCCTTATATCCACGTAAGTGGTGGGAAATCTTTCTATGATTTTCAAATTCAAAATCACATTTTATTGCATGGATTAAAATTTTATAATTTTCGTTTTGTAGATGTCTTTGATATCATAAATACTTTCTTCGAATTATATATTGGTAGCACCATTACAAGTAGGTATATAAATAGATGACTTTGTGTGCCTAACTTTAGATAATCGTTTACATCTTATATTATGCACTATTTGTATTACATCTATTCGGGTCAGGGACCATGATGTCCCTGCAAGTAAACTAGGGTTATAAGTAAAATACGTCTTACAATTGAGACGTCTATAATGAGTGACTGGTACCTACTTTATGACTATCTCTACAGATCATCGAAAAATATAAATTAATACCAACATAGGCAAATACTTATTACTTGTTAGAGATCAACTCTCAATCAATCCAAATAACTTATTTTGCTATTTCAAGCCTACCAAGTTATTTTATACAAAGTAGTGATTGTTTTGTTACAGCATGAAAATAATTACGGTTTTAAGAATAATCTGTGTTTTATTTGCGATCAAAATTAATTTAACCTCCTAAGTAGGTACATCAAAATGTACAAAATATGTGATGGGATTCAGACTGTATTATTACTACTATGTACATTATAATGAAAAAATAAGTTTTTCGTACTAGCCTGAGGGTTATAGGAGCTATGGAGGCACTGATATTATGGATAATTTGGTTCAATATGCATTATATAGCCTATATAGCTCCTGGTGGGAAGCGACACGCTTGTCCATAGCAGTTGCTGTGCCACTCAGAGCTTTAAATCGCAAAGATTTGAGTGGCATTGCCACTACGCCCGTGACCTTGAGACAATAAAGTTGACAAGTCCCATGTGCCTGTAATTTCACTAGTGCCCTCACCCTTCAAAACAGTAATGCTCACATTACCGCTTACCGGTAGAAATAGGTAAGGTGGCACTAATTCCTGGACAAATTCTTTTACAAAGAGCTCTACTGCTTCTAAAAATTACCATTTTTAGGGGGATTGCTTTTGATGTGTAATTGCGGCCTTATAATTCACCTATTGGCATAATAAATAAGAGTAGAAGTGGAAGCCAAGCCATTTGTTGGCAAACAAATTTAACAAACAAACTAAATAAAGCAAATACAACTTAATTTTATTGTCTTTCACTATGAGGTGCGAACCACTGCGAGTGAAATGGCAATGGCTTGTAATTTTGATAAAATATGTATCGATATGAAGAAGCATGCATTTCGAGCTGCAGCCTCGGGGAGAGCCCTCCTGTCAAGTAGCTCATTGTAATAATGTACGAGAAAAACTTTGCCCAGATAACAAATATTTTACAAAATACCTGTAAGTGCTCTGGTGCCAATCCTTTTAATTTATGCTATTTTGCAAAGATATAAGGAATGTGCGTGATTCACACGCATTGTCAATACACAAAAAAGTACAAGTAGATTACGATAACGAGAAACTTTTGTTTTTACTGTGTTTTTACCATTTTTTACCCAATTACAAACTTTTTTTTAAATCTAATACTTAATCCCCACAAGACTATATATTTGAAAATTATTGACGGCGCCATCTATCAATTTCTTAACATACTATCAACTTCAATGTGTACTGCTAAAAATACCATAACTATTTGAAAGAAAAGGAGGAGAGAAGCGAAGATAGTTCGTTCACGAAATATTATTATGTCACAAGGGGGCGCTAGTATTTAGCCACAATTCCACACACTAACATATACCGAGTCATTGGAAACTACAGTACTTGGACGTAATAGTGTACCTACTCCAAGTGTTTTCGGTTCTGTAACTTGGAAAAGCCACTGTTTTTCATGTAAATAATGTAGATATTAGGTTTATTTACGGACACCAGCCCGTTACACCAAAAACCAAGTAGATTTATGTACTAGGTATTGTAGTATCATCGCGCAATTTAGTTACTCTAAAATTATAATTGGATTGTCTTTTAAGTAACAATGATCTTATATACGATTTGTAAAATATTTTGGATTGGATATACATTATTATCTTTATAAGTTTTAGACCAGTAAAATCTAGGAGGTTTTGACTATTGTGATAATTTGAAAAATATAAAATACAAATAAGTACTCAGTTTTCTATAAGTCAATGATCGGGTTTAGTTATTTAATACGAATTATAATACGAGTTTTTAAATACTGGACAAAATAAGGACTGTATGTAGTAACTATTATTTTTGATGCCTTTAACTTCTTAACAAGAAGGGTTTGTGAGGCAACAGCGATTGTGAGATTTTGATAAATACAGACTCTGGTTACATTACAAAATTATATATTTTGGTCTGGTACAACAAAAATAAGACCTCAGTTCCCACTAGTTTAAGAGATGATTATATAAGAGTGTAGCAGAATTGCCATACGAAGTAATTTTAATAACGCTGAAGCATTTAACTTTCTGAATATTTTGAACAGAAATCACGGTAAACTTAAAAGCATCCGAATATCCGACTCTCAAGTATAATGTATTATTGATGATTCGACCTATTTTTATACGAGTGTAATGTCAAAGTACTTTAAGTAAATATATATTTTCATTATAATAAAAAATTAAATTAAAAAATGTAATTTATAATTGTTTTACTCATGGTTACTGTGGTTACCATTCTATTATCGCACTACGATTTGGTAGTACGGTAGGAACTTAAAAAATACCCAGCGCACTCTACCAGTGGTTTGCTTAGTGGTGCAATGGGTCCGGCGGGTTAAGTTTGTTTCACATAGTCTAATCCGAAAACATGTGAGCTAATATGGGCGGTGTGAAATTAAATAATAACCACTTCATATTACGTACTCATACATTTCAATTTACCATTGAGATATAAGATCAAAATCTGTCAGCCGCTGCAAAACAAATGGCCGCTTTTTAGGCTTTTTGTCCAACTTTTCGTCACCCTCTTGCTTTTCTGTGCTACTCTTCTTTTGGGTGTATTTTAAAGCTTTTTCTTTCTTGAGTTGGTCTTCACATTCAATATCATCAAAAGGGCACGAGCTTATACCGTTGATTGGCATCATGATTATGGGCACGTAGTTTGACTTGCCACCTAGCCTCTAAAAACAGAGTTCTTAGATTAAAAACAAACCTATATGAAAAGGAAGTGCAACTTTATTGTACACAATTAAACGACACCCGACCTGACAGGCCTCGTGGGGGTGGTATCGATATGGGGGAACGGGGGGCATAACGGGGTCGCGAGGCACAATGGGGCCAAGTAGCTAATGCGGTTTAGTACACATCCGTCAGATTCCTCTTTCGGCAGATCATTTCTTTATTCCGTATAGGTCAGATGTTTTTCTTGCTGGTAACGAAACAGTAATTAATTATCGTGATTCCTTGTCCGTCAGATTCCGCTTTCGCCAGAAATAGTTTTTTTTAAACACTTTTGTCAAATTCCGCTTTTCAATAATTTGTCAGTTCTTTTTTTTGAGAGTCAGAATGGCGGGTATATCTTAACAAATCCTGACAAAATTGTATCAAAATTTAGTATCTACCTTTTTGTTCTATTTAGTACCTATGTTTAAAAAAATTGTAAAAGAAATGATCTGACGAAAGAGGAATCTGACGGATGTGTACTAAATCGATATGACGAAAACGGAATTTGACGAAAATATCGTTATTGGTTGTCCACATTCGTCATTCCTGACGAACCTGAATTTAAAATTATGAAAAAATCTATTTCCCACGAAACTGGAATATGACGGATGTGTACTAAATCAAATATGCTAGCGGTATGCTGCTTTCGGAATAAGCGACCATCTTCAAATGGCGGCCAGAGCGAAAGTGACTGCACGCGTTCGTTTCTTACGAGAAAAAACATTTGTGGTCACGTTTCATCTTAATTTGTGTTACCACAAATACACATAAAAAAGTAAGTACTCATCAAAAGTATCAACTTTTTTGTTGTTTTGTAGTTATGGTATTTCTTAATATATACTGATTAAAATTAATGTATATCACATTTGTTATAATTATTAATACAAAGATCGAACACTCAGAAAAAATTCCTTCGATCCGGTCGGATTCGAACCGACGTCTTCTTGCATACTGTGCCAGACGCTATACCAACTAAGCCACGGAACGAACCGACGGACCTCACCAATTTTTCTATGTGCTTGCGTCGTGTCTTTGTACTTGGTCTTTCAACGACTTTTTAGTCGTAGCGCCATCTATTGCAGATTTATCAGATTTGTAGATTTGTATTAATAATTCTAACAAACTAGTGGAGTAATTTCACAAAAAATAATTGAATATCAATTCAATAAAAATTTAATTATATCACATTTGTTTTTAGAATTATTAAATAAAAACTATACTGGCGAGGGGGTAATAACGAAAACAAACAAAAGTATCAACTTGAGTCACTATGTGAGTCGCCTCGTTGTGCCTTAACCAGTTAGTAGCAACTTGATCATAATAGGCGTTCAAAGGCTTCATAAAACCAATATCCAAAGGCTGGAGCCCGTGCGTGCAGTGTGGGAGAAAGCAAAGTAACTGTTGCAGTGGTACTCATATTAATATCACAATAGCTACCACTGCCTGTCACTGGGACAAAGTTGACAATGTAACTGTAATTTCACCAACACGCTTCAAACCCGGAACGCATTAGTGCTCATATTACTGCTTGGCGGCAAAAATAGGTATGGTAATATATTTGCAAAAACCCCATACTGCCCTGATTTTAGTACCCCGTATTGCCCCTACCCTGAGGCATAATGGGGTTTTCTTAGGGTAACAATATAATTTAAAAAAATGCCAGCAGATTAATTTCTTAACCGAAGAATATGGCAAATTATACTTTAATATACTGCCAAAGAGTTGTGATTAGATTTAATATTAAAAAGTACATTTTTATACCTTTATTGGAGTTTTCCCTTTACCTTCCCTGTTATGCCCCCTTCCCCTGTTACTTTCCTTGTATAACAGTTGCTCAATGCTGCAAAGCTACATAAGCCAATGAAACACCAAACCTGAGCGTCTGAAGCACATTGGGTACAGTAGGACTTTGCAGCTGAAACTGCCTGTGTACTGATTAACTGTTGGACTACGGATTTTAACATTTCTTCTTCTATGTTTTTCGGTACACTCCTTTCCCATTTGCCTTCCGGGTTCATTTGCATTAGAACAGGTTTGGATATGTCTAGAGCATCAAAGCCTGGTTTTGCTAGGGGGCTGAAATGTTTTTTAAAATAAAATTACTCATTTTCATAACTATAAGGATTATATGCAACTATTACTACTATGCATTTCCTTTTTACGTCGTCAGATTTAGCTTGAACATTTATAATGACTAATTTTCGTACTTACATGTCTGCCAACTTGGAAATTAATTTCGGATCGGTCATGATGTGTCTTCAAAGTTTAAGTCATATACTTATAAATAATATAATTAAATGATATGTATGATTTTTATCTTATTTTATCATTTTATCATCGCTTTCCACTTGAATTTTCTTCTGTGATTATTCCGAATGGTATGTTCGCCATTTCATATTTGAAAAAGGAACGTCCAAAGAGATATTCGTCCAAAGAAAATACATATGAATACTATAATGCACAAGTTTTAAGTTTATCGCAAGCAAATTAATCCGATACGAAAAAGCCTTTTTTTAACCGTTTGAACCATTCCAAGTGCAATTTTAGGGTAAGAGAAGCTTAATTTTTGGGTTACATAATTCCGATGGCATTCGCCCTCTTCAAGAACGAATCCAAAACTCTACTCGCTTGTCCTCCTCCCAAAACAGTACAGGGTATGCGCCGTTTTCTGGGTATGTTAAATTTTTATAGACGTTTCAGTCCTCAGGCAGCAAAATTTCAGGCTCCCTTAATTGACGCTATCATCTCTGCCAATGACAAAGGCACTAAACTATTCTCATGGACCGGATTTCAGGATTCAGGAGCATTTCGAAGCCTATCTAGTGTCACATTATTGCAACACCTGAATATGGATGCACCTCTTGGGTTATTTACCTATGCATCCAGTCCCCATGTTGGTGCCTGCCTTCACAACAGGTGGATGGTGTATGGAATCCCCTCGCGTTCTTCAGAAGAAAATTGACTCCTCGGCAGGCTCAGTGGCCTTGCTTATAATCGGGAATTGCTGGCGGTGTACGAAAGCGTACAACATTTTCGCCACATTCTCGAAGAGCAACTCGTATACTGACCATGAGCCACTACTGCACGCCTTCGTATAACGTCGCGAAAAATTACCTCCACCGCAACTGAACCAGCTATCTTTTATTTGCAAATTTTCAACTGACGTTCAATATGTTAGGGGTGAAGACAACGTCGTCGCGGACACTTTATCCCGCACCGAGGCGATTTCACTTGGAGACGATTTCGCGGCACTAGTCAGTCTCAAATGCCTGTCATACAGTTGGTGAAAATGCAAGAAAGATAAGCTTTGAAATTGGAACAGGTTTTGATCCCGGGCACCAACATCACTCTAATATGTGATACGTCAACCGGTCGCCCTCGGCCTTACCTCACTTTGCCGTTCCGTCTAGCTGCTTTCGACCGTTGCCCTAACCTCAGCCAACCTGGTGCACGGGCATCTGCGCGCTTGGTAGTAACTCGCTACGTATGGCCTAACATCAACAAAGACTGTCGCGAGTGGGCACGTTACTGCATTCAGTGCCAGAGAAGTAAGGTATCGCGACATGTTAATTCGCCTGGTGGTCGGTTTGATCAACCTACCAGTCGATTCTGTCATCTGCACATCGACATCATCGGCTAACTTCCATGTTCTAACGGTTTCAATTGTTCTTTGACCGCCATAGACCGTCTCACACGGTGGCCGAAGGCTCGGCCGATGGCGACGTTAACCGCAGAAGCTTTCGACAAATTAGTGTCAGGATGGTGTTAAATATGAGAGTAATAAAACACGCCTTTGCTCAATCAGGTTTATTGGCAGACAGCCGTTACAAATTCATTTCCCCATGTATAACAACTAAGACTACCCACATAACTATTTTATTAATAATTATCTATACACCTACATTACACCTCCACCATTAGAAACCCTTACAATAAATACTGAAACAAACATAATAAAAACTTAACTAACGGACATGATACAACTTAGCTCTAGCTTAATCTATTTCCAAATAAAAAATAAGCCATAGCGAAGGACTGGCTTACGAATTCATTTAGGCCTGGGTGTACCCGCGGACTCAGGTAGCTGTGGTGGATGGGACGTGCTCGTATCGATCCCTTCCGTTATGATACACGGTTGTTCCGGGTTTGTTTCGCTTGTGGATGAACTAGCACTACTCCCATCCTCCACCGTCACCCCGGGTGCAACTGCCTCTTCACCGCCGCCTGTTGGCAAGTTATCGTCAGGATCATATCACCACCGTACATCGGATAACCGAGATCAACGTCGAACTATTTGATCGACATGTATTTTTATTAATTGACCGTTACTCCGACTTATCACATACCGACGTGAACCTTCACTACCCAAATTGTTTCCTTGTGTGTACCCAAATCTTGTGATCCATAGCCTCTTGCTCATACGGTGTCACCCTCACTAAAACTACGTTGAACTCTGCCCGCGAATTTAACTTGGTTCTCTTGTGCCATTTGTCTTCGTTTATCCACCGCATAATCGCTACGAAGCAAATCTAAATGAGAACGCAACACACGTTTCTGTAATAGTCTAGTAGGTGTCTGCCCTGTCGTACTGTGTACTGTATTTCGATACGTCAACCAAAAATGTCTGGAGAGCGGTATCGACATCAACATTATCCCTTATTGCATGCTTATTGCTTTTTAATTGCTCGTTTGCACAATTTGACTGCAATCTCGGCGCTGCCATTCGCCGATAAGCCGTTGAAAATCGTTGCCTAATACCATTATTCCTTAAGAATGATTCAAATTCTAAGCTTGTAAATGAAGGACCCTGATCTGACGAGCTCTATTGGAAATCCGAACCTTGCAAAAATATTCCGTAATATTTGTATAACATTAGATGCATTCTTTTGCTTGATGTCAAGCGCTTCCAACCACTTTGAACTCGAGTCGATGAGTACCAAGTATGATTCACCTTTGTATGGGCGTAAAAAGTCTATGTGTAAGCGAGTCCACGGTTGTGACGCGTACGGCCACGGTTACGGCGTCGCGTCCTCTTCCCGGGCAGAAGTCTCGCACTCGCGACATAACGCCTCGACGTCGTAATCAATGCGCCGCCACCACACGTAACTTTTAGCCTAGCCTTTAGTTTTCACAATACCCATGTGAGTACTATGCAATTGTTTTAACACTAACGGTCTTAATATGCCTAGAATAACCATCCTATAGCCCCATAATACAACCATTTTCTACATACAGTTCGTTGAGCCTGTCAAAATATGGTTTTAATTCTATTTCCGGACAGATTACAGGCCAACCCCTTCAATATAAAATTTAAGTCTACTCAAAGTCAAAGTCAAAGATTATTTATTCCATAGGTAAAATAAATTTACACTTGAAATCGTCATATTTAAGCTACTGCTCGTTCACTACGCTGACCTCCCTGGGAAGAACGAGCAAGAAACTCTAGGGATTGCTCTTTTCAAATAAACTTAAATGCTATGGAATACACTTTGAATCAAATTTGTGTGGATTCTGGAGCCATGTCGTCTTTCCATACATCTTTATCTAACACTTAGTCTTCAACTTTGTAATATGATTTTTCGATCAAAATATTTTTAATGTAGTTTTTGAACTTAGGAATTGATAAACTTAATATATGCTCCGGAATCTTATTGTAAAAACGTATACAGTTCCCCATAAAAGAGTTGTTTACCTTGGTTAAACGAAATCGTGGTACCATGAGTTTGGACTTAGCTCTAAGGTTAATATTATGGTTATCTTCTTTCTTATTGAAATTATGTATATTTTTACGAGCATATAAAATATTTGAGTAAATGTACTGTGATGCCACAGTCATGATACCAGTCTCCTTAAACTTTTCTCTGAGAGAAACCCGAGAGCCTAGACGGTACACAGAACGAATCGCTCGTTTTTGCAATACAAATATGGTTTGAATATCTGCCGCTTTACCCCACATGAGAATCCCGTAGGACATTATACTATGGAAATACTAAAGTAAACTAGTCTAGCAGTACTAACACCGGTAAGCTCACGTATTCTGGGGACTGCGTATGCAGCGGAGCTTAACCTGCTGGCCAGGGAAGATATATGTGGAAACCATTGAAGTTTACTATCTAAGGTCACTCCCAAGAAGACTGCTTTATTAACAAGTCTAACTTTTCTCCGTTTATTTCTATGCTTGGACTAGTCGATTTTACGTTAGGTAATTCAAATTTAACACATTTTGTCTTATTGGAATTAGTATTACAAGTTTTCATAGCATATAGCTCATACAAACGAGACCTACTCTTATGAATACCTACTGTTGCCCAGTCGTTGAATTTAGTCTCTCTATGGAAAGTTAATGTTTTCGATTTAAATATATTATCAAATTCATTTTTAATTAAGCCAAATATCGTGCTATATAAAGTATTTGGAACCCCCGGTATATGGGGTAGGGAATTTAAACTATTGCCGTTATTATTTTGAAATCTAATGATTCGTTCTGTGGTAATCGGTCTGCAGAGAAATTGGTCTACCTTCTCTCATTTTACAATTAAAAGAAGCCAATTGGCCACTATGGTCTGATCTTAAGCAATTTATTATTGATTTAGATACTGCGTCTGTGTTACAAAAGATGTTATCAATACAAGTAGAAGAGGAGGCAGTGATGCGAGTTGGTTCTAAGAAAAGATTAATCAAGTTAAAACTTTTAAACAAATTAATGAGTCTTACAGAAGTAGAACAGTTTTCCAACAGGTTTACATTGAAATCTCCATATATTACTACTTACGTTTTTTTTGGTTGGAACAATCCGCTTTAAACTGTCTTCCATAATTAATTCAAACTCGTTAAAATTAGCAGAGGGGGGCCTGTATACACATAAGACGACAAACTGATTCAATTCCACACATGAAATCTCAATAGTTCGTTCAGTAGAAAGATCTGTGACATCCTTACGCTCTTTAAATTTTAAGTTACGTTTAATAATAATCATGGATCCGCCTCTACTTAAACTCTTTCTTATTAACGAACTGACTATAACATAATTTTCTATGTTGTTAATTGCTTCGTAGTCTTTCAGCCAGTGCTCTGTAACACAAAACACGTCAACGGAAATATCGTGCAAAAAAGACTCATTTCTAATGTTTTGCCAGAAAAGCCTTGAATATTTTGATGTACTACATAGAAACGATTAGACTTTTCTGATGTCGTGTTTTTTAGTTTAAGTTATGGTTAGTAAAAAGTATACTGTTGCTACTTAAAGTAGGA